TATATACATACATACATATATATATATACATACATACTGTATAATGTGTGTGTATGTATAATGTGCTTCATCAGTACAGCATTTTGTACTTTATAAACTTGTTTGTAGATAAGTTAACAGACAGAACAGTGAAAAAACATTAAAAGTTATTTATTGTTGAATTTACAGATGTGTTGAAACACATGAATCCTTCATCTGAGCTCAGACATCAGGGCTACAGTCAGTTCCATCATCAGTTTCATTTAAAGCTAAAAAAAAAAAACTAAGAATGCCTGAAAGAACGAGGCGAGGCTCCGGGCCGAACACCTGGTCCTAGGAGTGGTTTGTGAGGGTCTGTGGGGGGTCCTGCTGGATCTTCAGAGAGCTGATCTTGTTGTCCAGTTCGTCCATGAAGCCTTCGTCCACAGACTCTCTGTCGGCCTCCTCCCCCCCTCCTTCAGCCTCGCTGGGCAGGAAGACGTGCAGCTGAGTGCGAGGAGGAAGAGGAGGAGCAGGAGCAGCAGGAGGAGCAGGAGGAGCAGGAGCAGCAGGAGCACGAGGACCACAGACCAGGACACAGGGCCTCCCCACCACAGACAGAGGTTCCACCTGAGCTGCAGAGACCCCCAGGTCACCGTGCAGAACCGGGTTGTGGGAGTGTCTCCTGGTGGGGCGTGGCCGGGGGCGGAGCTGGACGGGCTGGGACATGTGGAGAAAGGCGGGTCTGCAGCGGCTCTGCGGGTCACGCCCCCTGGCCGGCTCACAGCTCCTGCAGGGTCTGCTCAGTGATGGAGGGGCTTTCTGTAAGACCCCAGAGCCAGGTTGGAGAGACAGACCCTCAAACAGGAAGTCCTGGCTCGGACTGAGGAGGGACGGCTCACTGAGGCTGGAAAAACAAAGAAAAACTGTTTGAACAACATCTGGACCTGAGGAGACCAGGTCTGCAGGTTCTGGTACAGGTTCTGGATCAGAGCAGATGTTGAGGTCTTTGAGAGACCCTCAGAGTCTGTAGACCTGCTGATCCAGATAAAGTCCAAGTCCTTAGGAGGAACAGATAAACAGGAACCGGATCTGATGAGTCACATAAACCCTTGTTTAACCCGACCCACGTCAGAACTGAAGCTCCTGCAGACCCCACTAAAGACCCGACCCACATCGGAACTGAAGCTCCTGCAGACCCCACTAAAGACCCGACCCACATCGGAACTGAAGCTCCTGCAGACCCCACTAAAGACCAGACCCACATCGGAACTGAAGCTCCTGCAGACCCCACTAAAGACCAGACCCACATCAGAACTGAAGCTCCTGCAGACCCCACTAAAGACCCGACCCACATCAGAACTGAAGCTCCTGCAGACCCCACTAAAGACCAGACCCACATCAGAACTGAAGCTCCTGCACTCCCCAATAAAGACCAGACCCACATCAGAACTGAAGCTCCTGCACTCCCCATTAAAGACCAGACCCACATCGGAACTGAAGCTCCTGCAGACCCCACTAAAGACCAGACCCACATCAGAACCCGTCATCTTTCCTTTTATGGTTAYTCAAACCTGGTGGTCCGGATCACTCAGGACCCTTCCTCCTCCATGAATGGATCAGGTTTCAGAGACTCCAACACACCTGTACCTGGTCTCTGGGGGGTAGGACTGGTTTACATGAACCATCAAACACGTCAGGGAGGAAACCATTACTGAGTAAGTCCAGCCGGGCTGAGATTTGACAGGTTCTGATGGAGACATGAGTCCAGGTGAGTGAGCACCTGCAGAGAACCTGCTGAGTCATGCTGGGCCCACCTGCTGAGTCATGCTGGGCCCACCTGCTGAGTCATGCTGGGCCCACCTGCTGAGTCATGCTGGGCCCACCTGCTGAGTCATGCTGGGCCCACCTGCTGAGTCATGCTGGGCCCACCT